ACCTCCTCCCCACCCCGCCCGCACCCCCTAAATATGCCACTGGTTAAAGAGTTTTTCATCAGACACCCACTACAGTGTCTTAGAAAAAGTCAGTTGTACAACATATTAATTTTTGCCCCCCTCCAGAGCCTGGCTTGAATGCAAAAATTTGATTTCAATGTTTTCACTGAATAGCGCAAGTGGGTATCTTAATATAATTTTAAAATTCACAAAAAAAAAAAAAAATGATTATTTTCAATGAGCAACTCACCATATTTCAATTTTTTAGGTTATGGATGGCAGTGCAGTATTTAAAATAATACAAAACTATTTTAATAGAACACATGGTCAATTTTAATGGTCATTTATAATGGTTTAATTTTTAATGATCTATATAATGTTAATATTCATTAGCATTAAAACCATTTTCTGAAGACACTGCAAACATTATTTGCATACCAGTAAGTTGTTGAATATTTGCGCTATATTCGGTCACTGCTTCGTCATTCATTACTTGACCCCCAATGATGAACTCCATTTGACCTTTCTCAATGAGGTCGTGAACATTATCCTAGAAACAAATCATAAATGATTAATTTAACATCCTGGATAGAAAATATATAGAACATATTGGCACATAGTAGGGGTGTTTGGAGTTTCCACTTCAGAATGAAAATGGACTTGTATAGCGTGCCTTACACAATAAAAAATCATCTTAAAGTGCTTTGAAAAAGAGGAGAGAAAACTATCCCATAAACTATCCTCAAACTAATCAGAAACAATTTATCAACAAATCAAATTAAAAATGAACCAGTAGCAGACTCCCGCAATACGTTGGAGACTAGTTGAGACCCCTGACACAGCATACAATAAAATATACGGGTAGTAATTAATAAAAAAGTTTTCTATAAAAGCTGTCCACAATCAAATTTTATGTGACACCATATCTGGGTGTAACATTACATCCTCATGGCCATATATAGGCACATCACATTTATATATTACATAATAAACTTTGATAATGTGGACAGATCTTTAGAACTTCAAATTTCCGGAAGAATAAATTGCAGGCCTAAACCATGACCTAATATACTAATGTTTAGAGTACCTTTTGTGTATTGTTAGCAACATTGTTCCACCAAAGTCTAAAGAACTCCTGTTCAACAGCAATGAATCGTTTCTCTGGGTGGCTCACAAGATTTTCAACCACTGTTGTATACACATTTGCAGCATAAGCCCTCATACTAGCCTACAGTATAGGAAAGGATAAGGGCACATATAAAAAATTATTAGATCACTTTTTTTTTTTTTAATTGATGAGGGAGGGCAGTTTTTTTTGTTTTTTTTTTTAAACCGGAACAGTAGATTATTTCGCTTTTGTTTTTATCCATGAGGGAGGGACTGTTTATATTTGGTCTGTAATAGTATATATTGTATAAAAATTGGTTTAATTTCTTTTTCTATTTGCCCTAATTATGTTATTATTATTTGTTCAAAAGACAAACTTTTATTTAATTTGATTTACTTGACAACTAGTATGAGATTGCAATTTCCCCAGTCAGACAAAATGGACGCCCATTTTCCAACACTACGATGAGGTCATTGGAATCGACCGATGGCCGATCCAAACAAAGTTATTGTGAATGCCAATCCATGTAGTTTAACAGCACATTTTTTGGCCATGGCATCCTAAAATTTTTCATTACGAGACACCGGACTGATGGATGCTTTATGTAGCCCCCTATGTTGGACCCCCTGTAGACTTGTTTTCCCCTATCGGAAGATTTCTGGAATAAAAAAAATGAAGAGGCATCTTATTCCAATACTATTTAGGCAAACTAGCCAGCTACCGCTCCTTATAGCCTACAATTTTAAATAAGGTGAACATTTTTTTTTTAACCTTGTTTAGCAAGCCCTGTTGATATACGCGCAATCTCAAATAAAATTTTACTAAATAGATTACATTGTAACATCACATTCTTACGATCATGTGATATAGGACCTCCAGCAAATCACAAAAAGCACAACACTGCAGCCTGTTTAATATTACTTACCTTGCGCACACACATTTTCTTTATTCATCAATGAAATTTTTATTTTTCCTTCTGCCACTTCTGACAAAACCATTGTTTAAATAAAACAGCAATAATTTTTTTCTGCCCTCCTGCAATGGCTCATTATAAAAAATAAGTTCTATAAACAATGTATAAAAATAGTCTTGCCTAAATAAACTGCATATCTTACAATTTTTTAATTTATGTTAAATTAGTTTATTATATTACACACACGAAACCATATTATTAAAATAACTGCAAGATATATTTTGAAGATTTAAATTTAGAAGAATAAAATTGAAAATAATTGTGAAAAAAAAATAAAAATTGAATAATGTTGAATGAATTTTCAGAAGACATTATTCAACATCTCAACTTACGAAAACTTGCAATTCATTAATGCAATGAAATATATAGAGATAGGAATTAAAAAAAAGGTCACCCTATTAAATTCAACAACAGTGATGTACCTCTACAGTATACACCCAACCAACATCCATGTGGCTATGCGGAATTACAAATGCCTGGATTTTGTCAGCTTCCTTTGTTGCATTGGAAACTGTGCAATCTGTTCTGAAAAACACACATATTAGAAGGAACAAGCTTAAATTAATCTTATCTGAACGTAACAACATTTTTAAAACTTTTCACAAAAAGTTACAGCCTTCCTCCTTTGTTTGTTTACATCTGCTGGTTAGTACGCCCTCTATAGCAATTCCTGTTTAAATACCATTCCAGTAAATAGTTATCGGTCATTAAAAGTACAAATTTATCATTAAATATATATTTGAATATAAACTTGATAACTTGATAATTGACTGAGTAATCACAAATTTAGTTCAAGTATGCATTTAGCTGCTTATAATTTTAATATATACTGCTTAAAGCTCAATTTTATAACTTATGTTTACGTTTCAGTGGGAGGCATGACAGTAATTTGAAGGACTAGACGCTTACCAATCCAATCGGAATTTTGAGGTGAACTGCTCGTCATTAAACAACCGGAAGTAAATCTATCGAAGAAACTCCCTGTTTTACTGTATTCAAGGAGTGAAAAAACACATAATTTCCACAGGTTTTAAGATTTAAAGACGGTATGTATAATCAGAATCATGAACAACGTTGTGTCCGATTGTTAACATTTAGTTAGGCTTGATATTGTCCTTTCATGACTCGTTTCGCATTCAAAATAAATCCATTCCTAGCCTGGGCCTAGCCAGTATACTATAGGGCCAGTCCTATATATTGATTGGTTAGAGGCTTAGGCTAGGCCCCCTAGGCCTAGATGCCTAGTTAGGCTAGCTAGCTACCCTATTCCACTACTGTACTAGGCTAGGCTTCATCTAGTCTTGTTGAGACTGGTGTAAAGATATCAGTTTACAAAATCCTGGTTACTGATTGATTGTACAGTAAGCCTAGGCTAGGCCTAGGCCTATTTGTAAAAATAATTTGAAACACGATCACAACACGATTAATTCCTGATTCCAGGTGTTGCATTCATCACACACATTCACAACCAAGATAAGTGTAATTTGTAGTATTAATAGTAGCACCCGCCCCCCCCCCCCCCCCCCCCCCCCCCCCAC